TATTTTCTAATCTGCACAAACTTGCAGCTAAACGAAAATTTTCAATACCATATGCAATCAATTGATCCTTCGACTTCCAATGTTCGGTAATGCATAGCACCGAAACGTTCTCCTGTTCCACAAGCACTTCATTCAACTCTTGAACCGAATTTCCTATAGACTGCACATTTTGATGGAAAAAACAGATTGAGTTTCGTTTGACGCCAGTATCACAAGGGGTTTCAACGGAGAAATCCTTTGTACTCAGAAATGCTCTTGAAACTGACTATTCATGCCTGTTACAGCGTGGATTGTTTCGCTTGTTATCTAAACATTTTTCACATCTAACAAAATTGAATTTTTCAAAAACCACGTCATTGGGCCAGAACTTATTCCTGTATAAGTACAGCTTCCTGAAAAGTTGGATCAACTCCCACAAGAAAACAATTGTTGTTTTTAGCTTTGTATAATTTTTCAACCTTTTTTATGGACACAAGATCAATTGAAACATCCGCTTTCTTACAGATCCACTTCTGTGCTGTTTCTCCTTGTACATTGTCATTAACTTTTTTTAGGAATACCCATACCTTGCTTTTTTCTGTTTAGCACTACCCATAAATGAGAGCGTTCTTCATTGGGTTGTACCTGTTCTGTCCCTACATTATCTCTTCGTTTATTTCTTCTTCTTCTAACCTCAATAAAAGCACCACGACCAACTACTGATGTCTGCTGATTAAAAGAAACTGGATGCAATTTTGTTATACTGCTATAGGTTGGTATTTTATTTCCACCAGAACATTCTGCCAAACCACTACTAGTATCCATGTAAATGAGGTCATTCATTATACCTGCTTGTTTTTGAACTAAATTTTACCCTATCAAACGGTGTATTTTGTTTTGGTAGTAGGGATGGAGATTTATGATGGAAATGACTTGGAGTAGTCTTTATATGTGATTCAATCTCAATTTTATGCTTCTCCTGGGAACATTATTTCATGTGCAATAGTATGTCGCCAATATCTTTCTTCAAGGATTTGTCCTGTCCTAGAAAAATTTTTGAGGTTCCTCATATTTTTTATCCAGAAACTGTTGAAATCTTTCAATGGTCTCCAACATCATGTTCTCATTTTTCTTGAGGTTATTTATTTCTTGTTCAAGCTTGTTCATTACATCAAATTCGGATGTCCTTTTTGAAGCGCTACAATCCTGACCCCAGAATATAATTTTTCATTAAGATAATTCAATAACCTTTACTTCACTTGAAGAAAGCCGAGAACAGCTCTTACATAAGATAATGTTGCAGACATCATAGCCTATTGGCTTTTTACTTTCTGGATTTGTACGATTCTTACACTTAGTGCATTTGTCCTCCATCTTTGTTTCCTTTTTTGGTACTCCACTGGTCTGGAATTTTTCTTCCATACAACTCAGTACTATTTGCTGTGTGGAATTTATGTAAAAAAGAGATATCCCATTACATTCCATTTCAATTATTAGTAGTATTTGGAACTAAATACCACTTTCCTCTAAACTTTTTTGTTCAATTTATTAGAAAGTCTTTTGCACATATATCGAAATAACACATTCGTGGATTTCAAGGCGACATCTAACCACAGCCATGCGGGCGGTCATAGCCACTTGCTGTGGTACTCCAATCCCAAAGGATCTACAAAGAGAAAATGATCATGCGGAGAAAGGTATATGACAAAAAATAGGAAAATAATGGGCAAAATCCGCAAAATGAAGGAAAGTGGATTCGAGCAGAAAATAGGATAGGTTACCCGAGCGATACCTATTTCTGCTGTTTGGCTTCATCAGGCCCGAAATGAATGCACATATGTAACTACAAAAGTACATACACGTGCCCCATACATCCGAATACGGGTGTAACCTGAGAAAACGAAGATGGAGAGGGAAAAAATCACACACGAAGTACACAACAAGACCTAACCTACACATTGTAGTATAAAATGGCTAAAAGACCTCGAATTTCCAAGGCGACATCTAACCACAACCACGCGGCCGGCTATAGCCACTTGCTGTGGTACTTCAAGCCCAAAGGATCTACAAAGAGAAAATAATCATGCGGAGAAAGGTATATAACAAAAAAAAGGATAATAATGGGGGCAAAATCCGCAAAAAGAAAAAAGTGGATTCGAGCAGAAAATAGGGTAGGTAACCCGAGCGATACGTATTCTGCTGGTTGGTTTCATGAAATGAATGCACATGTGTAACTACAAAAGTAGATACACATACCCATGCATCCAGATACGGGTGTAACCTGAGGAAACGAAGATGGAGAGGGAACAAAATCACACACGAAGTCCACAACAAGAGCCAACCTACACATTGAGGTATAAAATGGTTATGACATCTGAAGCAGTTTACAGGGTTCGGAATAAATGGGCGTACTGGTAGACGGTAAAAATACAGCCCTAACTGACATAGGTAACTTGCGCTTGTCAAAAGTTAGAATATGGTGAGGTGTTTCAGTCAATAAGCCATTTCTTTTTTGAACTATCCTTGAAACTTCAACAACTCCTTCAGATCGAAGTTCATCTAAAATTTCCTCAACTGGTACATTCAATAAATCACAACAACTAACGACTCCTTTTGAAAAACTTGTACTCTGAGGTGATACTTTTGCATCGAATTCACCAAACTTTTCCAGTAGTAAAAATTTTCTTCCTTGTTCTGGGGATGCCAGCACTACTTTGTCTTTCTGATACTCTTTCAATCTCCTACTAATCAAAACAATGAGAAAGGGATTAATTTTACCAAAATCACACCCATCTGCTCTTCCAAACTCTACGAACCGGGGAACAATTTCCGCCTTTTCATGGCTGAAGGGGTCATCGCATTTTGCGGTTGGTTTGCCAGTCGCCATTCCTGTAGCGCCCACGTTTGAGGACGTAAGCACACCGGTCGAATTTTGTGTAGTTCCCATATGCTCAAAATTAGTATTTGCCTCCCCGGCTCCCTACACTCATTGGGAGGTTGCGTCCGTCATCGCCTTCCGCTAGAACTCAACCACGGGGATACCGTTAATGCTGAAAACAAAAAGGCTATAGTCCCGACAGATATCTCCACCATACGTGGAGGGTAGCGAGCTACCCCCGTCTGGCTTCTACTAAATGTGGAGACTGCCCAGCCAGCCCTCTGATGGTATGGTCTAGCCTGTTGACCAACGCAGGGCTAGGCGCGGCCGCTCTTCTACACTGACCGCCGCGACAAAGTAGCGTCTTGCCCCCTGACTGGTAGGACTCAAACACCAGGTCTCCATTGGCCAGCTTGCGGGTCGCCGGGCACGGCACAAACACCCGGGAAGCTAAGAGGAAGTCCCACGCGCCGCCTCAACGCACGGGTTAAGGATTGGAGATGGAAAGACCGGTAACGTCGGGAGGGCAGCGGACAGCTATAGGGAAGAGGAAAGGTAAAGCCCAGGGTTTGGCAGAATGAATAAGACCAAACCCGGAACTCCTGCCAGGGACCGTGGGGGCGACGCTTCCCATGTGTCTTCCCTTGAAACCGGGTACTGCGGGAATTATTATTATTATTATTATTATTATTGTTTATTAATTATTATTATACGACGTTGACAGAGCCGCTGATGGTGGTACAAATTGATTTGCTGGCTGATGGAAGATGCGCAATTTATAAAAAGCGTGATGGAGTTAAGAATAATTAACGGGCGTACGATTTACTACGTGGCAGTAAAAGTGGGACACGAATATCCATGGGCCATTGAGAATGGACTAGAAAACTAATCCCATACGTTGAATTGACAGGGGAACAGTACAGATATGTCTTTCCGCGGTTTTTGGTAAGGTCACAGTAGAGCTGTCGGCATCACTTTCATAAATCCATCTCCCTCACGCATACATGTGCAATCTGCCTCTGTGCACGGACATTAATTTGCTGTTGTAAGCTGACAGCATTACCGGAAAATGTGATTAGTGGACGATGTCGACAGTTTTTTGGTAAATTTATTGGAGTATTTTTAGAAAGTGAAAGAAAGCAACAGCCTGTGCAGAAGCTGCTCTGCTGAACATCGCTTTACACAGTGCAATTTCGACTACGAAAGTCTAAATCGAAAAATAGACCAAAATTTAGAAACAAGTGAGCAGAACTTGTAATTTACAAAAAAAACATTTATACATCTGCATTGTCGATTAATTTCTAGTTTAATGTTCATAGTATGCTGTAAATAATCAGAATTCAGTTGAAATTTCAATGGTGAATGGAAAATTCTATTAAAGGTATGATTATTTAGGCCCGTATCGTCAGTCGTCCCTACAATTGTAGGGCGCCTTCATGGCCTCCTTGATTGTCATAGTTTTCTACTTCTCCATGTCAGAACTCTATTTTGAGGTTATGTCACAAACATCTATTTGCATCAAATTGTGCTTGCTTTTGAGTTATATCATGTTTTATCAGCCTAAAATTTCCTACAATTTAAAAAGAAAACATATCTTCACAATAGGAGAGCGCTGCCGCTGACACGGGACAAGTGTAATCTAGAAATTTTTGAAGGAGAGAAAGGAGTATGACAGTCAAGGAGGCCATAAACGCGCCCTACAATTGTAGGGACGACTGACGATACGGGCCTTAATACCAATTTATTACAAAATTTTACTCATACGAAAAATTTTGTTATAAATTAACAATTTGTTACCAGCTTTACGTAGAGCACTTACTTATCTGACTATAGAACCTTCATTATTACCTATTTAACGCATTTGCACCATATTGTTCTGCTAACTTTTCTAACTTAGCAGAACATTTTTTTTCAGCATAAAAGCATTAAATTTCTCTTTCGGGAATTAATTAAGCACTTAATTTTGCAATAATCAATATTTTGTTCTTCTGTTCTTGTTCTGGTTACTCTAGGGACATGACCCGAAGGTAATTTTTTGTAGGAAGCTGTGTCATTGTTCTATATTCATCCGAGAGATTGACATGTCATTCTGTGCTACCCTATATGTTTGCATTAAATAAACAATCTTATCCTTCTTCAAAAGGTATCTGGTGGCTGTGGACACTAATCGTCAGCCGGGGGAATTGATTTTTGAGGCAGCAGTAGTAGAGGGCTTTAGGCAATATCGCTTAGATGAAAGGAGATCACCCCCCTATGTGAAGTCCCTTGTGCAGGTGCACCCGAGGGTAGGCCGTCTGACTCTGCTAGAGGGGCTACATTGTGACAACCTCTATTACCCAGACACATTCACTGTCTACGTAGAGTCTGTCTCGGATCGCCTGGGTAAACCGGAGTACTACAGCATGCCCATCAAGGTGATCGTAATTGGGAAGAACTGCGATAATAATGATGTTGAACAGAACAACCAGCTTTGGATGCACCATGATCGTACCGTGGTAAGTTATCAAGCAAAACATTTACTTATGTCTTCGTCCAACATTCATCTATTAATGCATGTCGAAGTTTCATGACAGGAAGAGCATACGTTCTTTTTAAAGCCAGCACATTTCCTAGTTTTGGACTGTTCATTATACTGCGAAAGGTTGGGAAAACTCGAAACAACTGACTGAAAAATCTTATTTCCTCGTATTCCCAAACAACAAAAAAGGCTTGCTTATTAGAAGTGTCTAAACTTAATAGTTTTCGCGATACTTGTTTTTAAAAATTCCAATGCATTATTTGTACCATGATGATAAAACATGTTTATAACATACACGCATGAATATGTGGTTTATGCACGACGGCGCTTCGCCTCATTTTAGTATATTAGTTAGAGAGCACCTACACAGAGTTTATCCAGACCAGTGGATAGGCCGATCAGGACCTGTATCGTGGCCGGCTAGATCACCAGATTTAAATCCTATGGATTTCTTCTTCTGGGGTGATGGAAATTGTAGATGATCTTCGGAAAAGAATTTTCCACCATAGCCAGGAAATGAAAAATAAAATCCAAATGCTTTGGAGAGTGCAGCAAGGATTGGTTCATCCAGCTCGAGAGTGTGTTAGGCAAGGTGGTGCTCATTTTGAACAATTTTTGAAGTTATTATTTCCGTTTATTAGTTTTGCTGCCATCCTCATTTGTTATTGTTAAAAACCATAGCTATGCTACTCAGATATTATCCAAAGAAACTTGATTATTATGTTATAAAAATGTTTTATCATCATGGCACAAATAATGCATAGGAACTTTTAAAAACAAATATCTCGAAAACTATTAGCTTTACACACTTCTAACAAGTAGACCTTTTTTGTTGCGGAAATACGAGAAAATTAGATTTTTTCGTCAGTTGTGGTATACAGGGTAGCACAAAAAAGTTGTGATAAGTTATTTACCAAAATAGTGCCGGCGCCCTCTAGAAGTTTGGCCATCAAAAATAACGGATTCTTGTTTCTCATACTAGAAAATCTCCCTATACCGAGAATTATGCCAAAATCTGAAATACTTCTCAATCAATAAGGAAAAATATAAAATAAAATTGTAACTTTCTCGCAAACTATCCACTTTTGGACTAAGGTTTGCTTAGGTCAATTCACATATTTTGGTCTGTAGTATCTTCAGCTTCGAGATTTCCGGGCCTTTCGCAGACACCCTGTATACATGTCATTTTAGGGCACATTTCTAAAATATTGGCCATTATACAATTTCGACCTGCATATCAAAATTGTGATATTTCAAATGGAATGCCTCAAATGTTATTGCATATCTAGATAACCCAGTTCAAAAGAAGAAAATTCATATAAAATACTATGGGGTTTTGGTAATGAGCTACTGCGATATAAGGTGTTTTGCAACCCCTCAGTCCGCGATTTTGAAATTTGGAGGGCTGAATTTTGTATCAAAAAAAAAACTTATACACCTCAGCTTTTATCTTATTTGTTACTTTTTCGAATTTTAATTTTTGCTCATACAGGGTGGACAACAACGCAAATTGTAGTTTTTTTCAAAACTTTTAAATGCATCACCCTGGATATTTGTGCAAGTTTGGACTCAATTTTTATAAACTTTTTTGATACCAGACACATAAAGGTTTTTACGACTATTTCTTCGGGTATTAGCACGTCTTTTTTGGAACGGCTTGATTTCCTAAAATATCTTATCATCTTTGGAAACATAAATTGTTGATAAGTTACAAACTGTCAAAATTAGCTCTGTGAGCATCATAATAAAAACGTGTTTGAACATGAATTTTTCTAATGAAGAAATGGTGAATATGGCGTTCGTTTTGGGCGAAGCCCAAAGAAATAGTTTCCTAGCATCTCGCATTTATAAGCAACGGTACCATAATATGCGACATCCAAGGCCGGAAACATTTTCCACACTACGTTTTGAATCAAGTGGAGCAGTGGAATCTAGTAAAACATGTATAAATAATCCAAGTGTCACCAATGAGGCGAGTCAGTTGGAGGTTCTATTAAAGTTGCAGGAAAATCCCCATTTAAGTGCACGGAAAATTGGAGCAGAAACTGATATATGCAGAACTTCTGTCCAAAGGATTATTCACAAGCATAGGTACCATCCATATCACCTATGATTGCATCAAGGCCGTCGTCCTCAGGATTTCGCAGCTCGAATGGAGTTTAGTAAAATAATGCTAAATAAAGTGAGTGAAGACACTACTTTCCTGGATAAGGTTCGTTTTAGCGATGAGGCAACTTTTAACAGCATAGGTGTTGTCAACAGGCATAACATGCACTATACGTATTATGCGACGGAAAACCCGTACTGGGTTAGGCAAATAGATTTCCAAAATAAATGGAGCTTGAATGTTTGGGGAGGTGGTATTTACAGACAAGTTATCGGGCCTTTCTTATTCGACAACAGATTAACAGGTACAGAAAACTTGAATTTTTTGATCGAGCATTTGCCTTTGCTTTTGGAAGATGTCAACCTGCAAACTCGGATGCATATATACTTCCAATATGACGGCACACCTGCACATTATCATAATTGTGTGGGTAACTATTTGGACACCTGGAGTAACAATAGTTGGATCTGTCGTGATCGGCCTATATCTCGGCCTCGTAGATCACCAGATATGACACCGATGGACTTCTTTCTATGGGACTACGTTGAGCAAGAGGTTTATAGATGTCCACCATCTACCCCGGAAAATATGAAGGAAAGGGTTAAGGATGCTTTTCTGAACATAAGGGAACACATGCTGAGGGATATGCAACGGCTGTGTATTCAACATGGTGGAGATATTTTCGAGCAGTTTTTGTGTAGCTTAGGTCTTGAGTAGTGATAGTTGTTTGTTTATGTTGTTGTTATAGTTGTTGTTCTCTGTTACGCTTGTAGCTGATTTATACTGTTCTGATTGTTATTATTTTTTACGTCAAATCTGTACTCTTAGTGGTAATATGGAACTAGCCCACTGTTGTCTTTTGTTTCCATGGATGATGTGACTTTTCCTTAATTTCGGTGTGTTGTTCTATTAAAAGCTTTATAATTCAAAATCTAGTGATTTTATCTGAACCAATTATACCAAAAAAAGCTTATGAAAAATTGAATCCAAACTTGCTCAAATATAGAGGGTGATACATTTGAAGTTTTTGAGAGATTGTACAATTTGCGTTTTTGACCACCCTGTATGAGCAAAAATTAAAATTCGAAAAAGTAAGATAAAAGCTGAGGTGTGTCAGTTTGCTAAAAAATTCATTTTCACTCCCAAGGAAATGATTCCCCAAAATCAGTTGTACCTCAAAGTAATACTCATTATAGAGACAATTTATAGGCTAGGTGGCATGGTATGAGAAAGCTTCGGAAAGGCTGGCAGATAAAAAAATATGCTAAAAAAATCATTTTCACCCCCAAGGAAATGATTCCCCAAAATCTGTTGTACCTCAAAAAAATACTATAGAGACATTTTATAGGCTAGGTGGCATGGTGTGAGAAAGCTTCTGAAAGGCTGGCATATAAAAAAATATGCTAAAAAATTCATTTTCACTCCCAAGGATATGATTCCCAAAATCAGTTGTACCTCAAAAAAATACTTTATTATAGAGACAATTTATAGGCTGGGTGGCATGGTGTGAGAAAGCTTCTGAAAGGCTGGCAGATAAAAAAATATGCTAAAAAAATCATTTTCACCCCCAAGGAAATGATTCCCCAAAATCTGTTGTACCTCAAAAAAATATTATAGAGACATTTTATAGGCTAGGTGGCATGGTGTGAGAAAGCTTCTGAAAGGCTGGCAGATAAAAAAATATGCTAAAAAAATCATTTTCACCCCCAAGGAAATGATTCTCCAAAATCTGTTGTACCTCAAAAAAATACTATAGAAACATTTTATAGGCTAGGTGGCATGGTGTGAGAAAGCTTCTGAAAGGCTGGCAGATAAAAAATATGCTAAAAAATTCATTTTCACCCCCAAGGAAATGATTCCTTAAAATCTGGTGTACCTCAAAAAAATACTCTATTATAGAGACATTTTATAGGGCTAGGTGGCATGATGTGAGAAAGCTTCTGAAAGGCTGGCAGATAAAAAAATATGATAAAAAATTCATTTTCACCCCCAAGGAAATGATTCCCCAAAATCAGTGGTACCTCAAAAAAATACTCTCTTATAGAGACTATCTATAGGCTAGGTGGCATGGTGTGAGAAAGCTTCTGAAAGGCTGGCAGATAAAAAAAATATGCTAAAAAATTAATTTTCACCCCCAAGGAAATGATTCCTTAAAATCTGGTGTACCTCAAAAAAATACTCTATTATAGAGACATTTTATAGGGCTAGGTGGCATGATGTGAGAAAGCTTCTGAAAGGCTGGCAGATAAAAAAATATGATAAAAAATTCATTTTCACCCCCAAGGAAATGATTCCCCAAAATCAGTTGTACCTCAAAAAAATACTCTATTATAGAGACTATCTATAGGCTAGGTGGCATGGTGTGAGAAAGCTTCTGAAAGGCTGGCAGATAAAAAAATATGCTAAAAAATTCATTTTCACCCCCAAGGAAATGATTCCTCAAAATCAGTTATACCTCAAAAAATACTCTATTATAGAGACAGTTTATAGGCTAGATGGCATGGTGTGAGAAAGCTTCTGAACGTCTGGCAGATAAAAAACTATGTTCATAAAATTCAATTTACAAACATATTTTTTTATCTGTCAGCCTTTCAGAAGCTTTCCCACACCATGACACGTAGCTTATAAATTGTCTCTATAATAGAGTATTGTTTTGAGGTACAACTGATTTTGGGGAATCATTTCCTTGGGGGTGAAAATGAATTTTTTAGCATATTTTTTTATCTGCCAGCCTTTCAGAAGCTTTCTCACACCATGCCTCCCAGCCTATAAATTGTCTCTATAATAGAGTATTTTTTTGAGGTACAAGTGATTTTGGGGAATCATTTCCTTGGGGGTGAAAATGAATTTTTTAGCATATTTTTTTATCT